AGGATTTCAAATTGGAGTGTGATTGGGCACCTGGTTCGAAGACCTTATTGGACTTAGTGGAATCAAGTGTTAAGCAATATCCTCATATGAAGGCATTAGGTGTTAGGGAATACCTAGGAACGAAGGATGTGGGACAGAAGTAGTACTTCCAGCAACAGCAGCAGCAGCCTTATTATCATAGTTATTCTTTGTAGTGCTCAGTGCACACCTCTTGTCGTCGTTTCCTTAGGTTTCCTGTAAGTGTATTTGGTCCCACAACTTGGACTACTTACAAGGAGCTTTCTACCAATTATCATGCATTCGGTGCCTATCTACGTTATATTGGTAACAAACCACAAATCCATACTAAGGACTTTGATAATGATCTCCTTGGTGAGTATTCAATTGTTATATTCGAGGACACATGTGATATGTGGATTACTGCTGCTCTTGGGGCATGGACTCAGGATATGCTCGTTACTACTGTTTATGGTACTCTTGGTCCCGATGCTGTAGTACAGGCTGTACAAGAAGGTCAGAGGACTACTCTACTTTGTAACAGGAAGAATGTACATAAGATTATTGCTCGACGTAGTGAAATGCCCTCCCTTAAATATATTATATACACTGACCTCAATGTGGATCCTAAAGAGGCCCAACAAGAAGTCTTGAGTGCCGAACAGGAGGAGGAGGAGGAGGAGGGTATCAAAGTTATTCCATATCCTAAAGCATTGTCGATTGGTAAAGAATGTGTTGATAATAGTGATATAAAAGAAGAAGCTACTGCAGACTCAGTAGCAGTTATTATGTATACTAGTGGTACTACTGGTAAACCTAAAGGTGTTGTAATGCCTCATTCGAGTGTATTATTCACCATTGGTTCAGTAATACCAATATGTATTGCTGCTATGCCACCACACTTCTCACATGTTGCATATCTACCTTTATCACATATCTTTGAGCTTGCTATACATATTGGTGTACTATCTCTTGGAGGTAATATTGGTTATGCTGATCCACGAACTTTATCTAATACTGGTGCTCGTCCTACTGGTGCTTTACAGGAGTTCAAACCACATCTTATTATGGGTGTACCCAAAGTATATGAGGTTATAATGAAGGGTGCGAAGGCAGAGATTGCCAAGCTACCTGCTGCTAAACAACAACTTGTTAATGCTGCATTTGAATGGAAATTATCGGCGCTCAATGCTGGTCGTTATACACCTATATTTGATAAACTCATATTTAAGAAGATAGAAGATATGATTGGTGGTAGAGTTAATGGTATACTATCCGGTGGAGGTCCTCTAGCTTCTCATATTCAAGATTGGATACGTACAGCATTTGGTTGTTATGTTGTACAAGTTATGCTCTCACTGAGACATGTGCTGGAGCATCCTTCTCACTACTTGGTGATACTCGTGTATTCAATGTTGGACCACCTATACCTGGTGTTGAGATTATGTTAAGATCATGCTATGATGAT